AAAAGTTTTAAAAGCCTTGTCATGACTTTTTCTTTTTGTTGGATTCTCCCCCTTTGTGTTTAATTTGTCATGCCCAATGGATTCATTCTGCTGGGTTTCCTGGGGTAGTCACATTTTAAAATAGTCATTCATAATATAGCAAATTAAGCAAAACATCAGATGTATTTTAGAAATATGACTGGCTGCACTATAGAGACTAGACTGGAAGAGAGCAAGACTGGAAATCACCGTAACAGTGCAGGCAATGGTAATCTGGTCTTTAATGATGACACCTGGGATAGAGAAAAGCAGGATATGAGTTATATTTAATAGGTATTTAGCTATTTAATAGGAATTTAGCTCAGTGGCACCGCTCCTGCCTTGTAAGCGCAAGGTCCTGAGTTCGATCCCCAGTACTGGGGGGACTAATTGACTGGATTTGGGGGTGGTTGTGAAATTAATGGCTGAGAGGAAAAAGCCATTCAATGGTTTAAGAAATCTTGGAGCAATAACAGAGTTAAGGGGGAAAAGAATAAGTTAATTTATTCATTCAAGGGCCACAGATGATACAAGTCAGATGACACATGAACACATGGATCTGGGGCTTAGGATAGAGATATAGGTTTCTATTTATATAGATGGCAATTAAAGTAATAGTGAATTTAAAGTGTCCAGGGAAGAACACATAGATAAGAAAAATGAGAGCCAACATTTGAGATACAGAAAAGGAGGTAGAATCTTCAAAAATGATAAAAAGGAGCAATCCCAGAGGCAGGAAAAAGACCCGGCTGATATTCTATTATAGAGCCCAAGAGAAGTTTATTTTTCAAGTAAAGTAAAGCCAATAATATACATCACTTCCCTGCCTCAACAGCTAGTTCTTTGAGTTTGAATAAATATGAAATTTCAATAACTGTCATGGTATCTTGCACAGAGTTATTAGTCAATAAAGCTCTTATTTACTTCTGTTTTCTGTTTAAGACATATCAAACACAATGCTACATGCATAGAATTATAATAAACAAGATTGCCTAATTCCTGTCCTCTCACATCTTAACATCTGTAAGATTAAATACATGAACATCACTTTAACAATCCAGAAACAAATGTTTATTAAAACATGTTTTGCTTAATTTGCTATATTATGAATGACTACTATAAAATGAGACTACTTCAATAAAAGCATCTTGAGTAGTTTAGATATTTAGGCAAACTAATTTAATTTATTCATTAACTGTGGATTTTTAATCTCTGGAAGGTAATAGTGGCCAAGAGAACCTGAATTTCTTCACACAGCTATTCAAAAAAACCTAAACCCAAGATAAAGAAGCGGCACAAACAAAACCATACATGACCCATGCCACTACGTTACTAGGAGACAAAGAATACCCAGACTTCAAATTACCTGTAAGTAGAAAAAGAGAAAACATATTGCAACAAGCCTCTCTACTGCTATAGACCTATGGGCATAGAAAGCAAAGGTGGTAAGGGTTGGGGGGCGGGGGGACAGGAAGCAGGAAAAACAGATGAAGGACAAATAAAATCACTCCCAGAAAGAAGTACATTAATAAAGTACTATAGTACTTAGCAAAAGTCTGAGATTTAGAAATTCACAGCACTGACTATGAGAAGAATCTTAAAAGTCAGTGGGTTGGTGGGCATAGTGGGTACACACCTGTAATCCCAGCACTCTGAGAGGCTGAGGAAGAAGAATCACAAGTTGGAGCCCAGCCTGGGCCACTTAGTGACTGAGTGGGACCCTGTCTCAAAAAAAAAAAAAAAAGCAAACAAACAAAAATAGATGGGAATGGAATTCAGTGTGAAGGCCCTGGATTGAATTCCCAGAACCACCCTCATCCTTCAAAAAAAAAGTGCATCACCAAGGATACCAAGACCATTCAATGATAAAAGAATAGTGCACCCCACACCCCCATGGTCCTGGAGACTGAACCCAAGATCTTCCCACTAAGCTACATCTCCAGCCCATTTTTTTGTGTTTTTTGTTTTGGTCTTTTTTTGGGGGGGGGTACCAGGGATCGAACTTGGACCTTGCGCTTTCGAGGCAGGTGGCGGAACCACTGAGCTAAATCCCCAGCCCCTTTTGTGTTTTTTGAGTCAGGTTCTCATTAAGTTGCTAAATTGCCCAGGTCAGGATTACAGGCATGTGCCACATTGCCTAGCACTAATACAATTCTTGCTAGCTCAGAGAAAAGCCCTTTCCACGTTCAGACCACTCTGATTACCAGGAAATTTTCATGTATTGAGATGAAATAAATCTCCCTTTTTATAATTCACTCACATAAACCCTTGATACTGCTCTCTGGAGCCACAAAATATACATTGAAGTTTCTGGTCAGCCAGCCTTATGTTTTCAGGTTAAACAACCTCACTACAACTTCCAATTATCCACATCAGTTGTTTGGTTTGGTTTGGTTTCTGAGACAAAGTCTTGATATGTAGTTCAGGCTGGCCTTGAACTCACTATGTAGCCCAGACTGGCCTCAAACTTGAGGCAATCCTCCTGTCTCAACCTCCTGAGTGCTAGGATTACTGGTGTGTGCCACCACACCTAGATACTATTTTTTATTTAATTTTATTTTATTTATTTACTCTGAGGCAAGGTCTCAATATGTTGCCCAAGCTGCCCTCAAATTCAAGATCCTCCTGCCTTAGCTTCCCAAGCAGCTGGTATTACAGGAGCATGATATTTCATCCAGCTTGTTTTTAAAACCATCAGTTTTTAAAACCATCATCAGGGGCCTGGGATTTAGCTCAGTGGTTCTGGCACCTGCCTCACAAGCACAAGGTCCCAAGTTCGATCCCCGGTACAAAAACAAAAACAACCCATCATCGTACTCATTTTATTCACTCTTCTACAAATACATACTTAAATGTCATCTTAAACATATCACTCAAGGTACATTCTAAAAATAAAAGTAAAGAAATCACTTCCTTCAGGCTAGATAACATACTTCTACTAAATTCATGTAAGTTTCTCTGGCTTCTTTCGTACTCTATACATACAGAAAT